GAGGTTGCTGTGAGCGTGATGCCATGGCACTCTACCCAGGGGGATAGCTTGAGGCTCCATCTCAAAAAAAAAAAAAAGATAGGTTGGGTTGTCAAGGGCTTCAGTCATCAGGCAAGGTGAAATTGATCCTCTTGGCAAGAGGCTGCAGTTGTGTGACCTAAGGGGAACACCCCTTGGAAGGAGGTAAAGGGGAGGCTGGAGAAAGAGGTAGGAGATAGGGCTGCCTCTCCTGATTCTCTGGAAATCTTCAAGAAGCCATCTGGGTAGCTGGAATCTTTGTAGAGAGGACCAGATCTATTCAGATGGTTTCAATGGCATTTCACACTTATTGCTGTGAGATTCCATGGCCCTATTCCCAGAAAGGTGGGTCATCAGTTTGGGGAAGCAGGACATCTGAGCAGATGGAATTGCTGGGGCTCCTCTCACCTCTGTATGTCCCCCTGAACTCTTCTGTCCTGCAGTTTCTATTCCAAGGACAATGAAGGCAGCTGGTTCCGCTCCCTCTTCGTCCATAAGGTGGATCCTCGGAAAGATGCCCATTCCACCCTGCTGTCCAAGAAAGAGACCAGCAACCTCTATAAGATCCAGTGTGAGTGGCTACTGACCTGGCCGACCCCTGCCCTGTGAGGGCCTCCGGGCTGGTGAGGCTCTAGCATGGAGATTTGAGAGTCCTGGCCTTAATGCCCACCCCTACTACCCTTCCCCATAATACTGTGGGCTCCACTCCCTGCTCTCTGTTCTATTGCAGTCCACAACGTGAAGCCTGAGTGTCTGGATGCCTACAACAGCCTGACGTGAGCATCCTCCCCCGTCCCCCATCCTCCAGCTCCTGCTCAGGTGGGGGTCTCTATCCCAGGGAATCTTCAGAATATCCTCTGTTTTATTCTCCTGGCACAAATCCAGACATCTCATCCCACCTCTGCATCTTAGAGATGGGGAAACTGAGGCCCAACCCTGGGGGGCCTGAGTTAGAACCGTCATCTCAGGGGCCCTGGTGGCTGGTATGAGCTCTTCCCCCCTCTCTCTGCTCCTCCTACAGGGAGGCTGTGCTGCCCAAGCTGCACCTGGATGAGGACTACCCCTGCTCGCTCGTGGGCAACTGGAACACGTGGTATGGGGAGCAGGACCAGGCAGGTGAGGTGCTCACCTTCCCAGCGCCACTGCCATTGCCAGCACTTATCATACCTGACTGCCCTCAACTTCCTCTCCATAGCAGCATCTGGGAGATCTTTCTAAATGCAAACCTCAAGGCCTCACTCCCTTACTCATACACCTGTCCTGGCTTCCCTCTGCTTTTGTGTGGCCCATGAGGCCTGAGCGTCCTTCCCTGTCCAGCCTCCAGCCTCAACTCACCACATCCTCCTTGCTCACTGTGCTGTTCCACCCAGGATTTCAGTTTCTCATATCAACAGTTTTGCTTTCTTGTACTAGGCTGTGTTCATGCTCTTTCCTTTTACCTAAAACATTCTTCCCTTGCCTGCTTTACCCAGATCACCTGTCATTTATTCAGTCTTTTATTTTGGCACAAATACCACCTTCTATTAGAAGGCTCCCTGGATTTCCTCCATCCAGGCTGCACCTCCTCGGCTCCCTAGCCCCCAGTACTTGCTTCTTTGTGCCCTGATTATGTACCCCTGTACTTGCCTGTGTGCTTACCTGTCTCCCCACATAGGTGAGTTCTGGGGGGCAGACCTATGCCTGCCTTCATCACTGAATTCTTAGTTTGTGGCACTTATCTAGAATAAGTGGAACCTTATCTGAGCTGGTTTCTTAGTTTTCCAGGGCCATCCTCAGCATGCCCCATCCCACCCCAGCATACCCACCAAACTTGGCACCAGCCACTAGGACCTACACACAAATTTGGTTGACTTATAGTATCTGAGCCACTTAATGGGGCCTTAGCATTGAGATCTAAGCTGTCTAACAGGATACCCATTAAACACATGTAGCTATTTAAATTTAGATTAAAGATTCAGTTTCTTTTTGTTTGTTTTGTTTTGAGACAGAGTCTCAGGCTGTCACCCTGGGTAGAGTGCCATGGCGACATCATATCTCACAGCAACTTCCAACTCTTGGACTGAAGCAATCCTCTTGCCTCAGTTTTTTGTATTTTTAATGTAAAGACAGGGTTTCGCTCTGGCTTAGGCTGGTCTCAAACACATGAGCTCAAGCAATCCACCTGCCTTGGTCTTGCAGAGTGTGAGGATTACAGGCATTAGCCACCGTGCCTGGCCAAAGATTCAGTTTCTTGTCACACTAGCAACATTTCAAGCACTCACTAAGAGACACACATGGCTGGTGGCTACTGTCTTAGAGAGCAAAGCTATAGAACATTTACATTATAGCAGAAAGTCCTTTTGGGAAGGGCTGGTTTGGACTATTCACATAGCACAACTCTCACAGATGGTTCTCTAAACTTTCCTTGAATACTCCCAGCAATAGAGAGCTGACTACCTCCTATGTCAATCTATCTTATTATTTGACAGCTCTGATAATTGTGTCTCTGAAAAAAATCTGACATCTTTTTTTTTTTTATTTCTGAGACTGAGTCTCACTATGTTGTCTTTGGTAGAGTGCCATGGCATCACAGCAACCTCAAACTCTTAGGTTTAAGCAATTCTCTTGCCTCAGCCTCCCAAGTAGCTGGGACTATAGGCACCTGCCATAATGCCCGGCTATTTTTTGTTGCAGTTGTCATGTTTAGCTGGCCCTGGCTGTGTTTGAACCCGCCAGCCTGGGTGTATGTGGCTGACACTATAACCACTGTGCTACAGGTGCAGAGCCATTTTTTTTGAGACAGAGTCTCAAGCTGTCACCCTGGCTAGAGTGCCATGGCGTCACAGCTCACAGCAACCTGAAACTCTTGGGCTTAAGCAATTCTCTTGCCTCAGCTTCCCAAGTAGCTGAGATTATAGGTGTCCAGCACAATGCCTGGCTATTTTGTGTTTGTTGTTGCAGTTGTCATTTTTTTTGTTTTGTTTGTTTGTTTAGTGGTAAGATAGGACTTTTAGGCTCGGCGCCTATAGCTCAACCGGCTAAGGCGCCGGCCACGTACACCTAAGGTGGCGGGTTCGAATCCCCAGCCCGGATCCGCCAAAACAACAATGACGGCTGCAACCAAAAAATAGCCGGGCATTGTGGCGGGCACCTGTGGTCCCAGCTACTTGGGAGGCGGAAGCAGGAGACTCGCTTGAGCCCAGGAGTTGGAGGTTGCTGTGAGCTGTAATGCCACAGCACTCTACCTAGGGGGACAGCTTGAGGCTCTGTCTCAAAAAAAAAAAAAAAAAGGTAGGACTTTTATTAGAAGTTAGAAAGGAATACAGAAAAGCACCAGAGCTTCTGGAAAGGGGAAAGGACTGAAGGACTCCCTTGGGAATCTCCATGTGGGCCCTTTTATCTAGGGGTCTAGAGGATTACACATGGCTGGCAGTTGGTCCTTTACAGTCTTTTGTCCCTGAGAAGGGATTAGGGTGTGTGCTCCTACCCAAGGTGGAACCACCCAAAAACCATCACAGGCTGCTTTGTTCATGATCTTATAACCCAGAGGATGTGTCTCGAAGAAGGCAGTCTGCTTGTGCCTGGAAATAGGGGGTCTGATCTTTGAGCTCACCTGGGTCTAGAGAATGGGGGGCTCCCTATCTAGCCCTGAGTGGTGGAATCCTGTATCAATCCTCTCTTTCTGAATAGAAGCTCTAATTGCTGTTGTCATTGTTGTTTTAACTGACCTGGGCCAGGTTCAAACCTGTCAGCTTTGGTGTATGTGGCTGGTGCTTTACCCACTGAGCTACAGACGCTGCCCTACATAGATCTCCTTAATCATTTATTCTGTTTTAGTAACAGACATTGACATGTTGATAAGGGGAGAAGAGAAAAGCAAATTGCCTTCAGTTTCAGCTACTACAGTTTTCCCATTTTAAGCTTGATCAGCTCCAGCAGTGGTCCATGGATTCTCTTAATTGTTTGGTAGTGGTGAAATGGACTTTGAGGGACGGGTTCCTGACTTTTAAAGCATGGCATACGTTTTCATTTTGTGTATCTTGCTGTTTAGTCCCCTGTGTAGATTCAGCCATATCCTAGGAGTAAAGCTCAGGAATCTCCTGGTTTTTTTTTTTTTTTTTTTTGAGACACAGTCTCACTTTGTCACCCTCAGTAGAGTGCCTTGGTGTCATAGCTCACAGCAACCTCAAACTCTGGGGCTCAAGTGATCCACTCGCCTCAGCCTCCCAAGTAGCTGGGACTATAAGTGCCTGCCACCACAGCCAGCTATTTTTAGAGATGGGGTCTCCCTCTGGCTCAGGCTGGTCTCAGACTCATGAGCTCAGGTGATACACCCACCTTGACTTCCCAGAGTGCTGGGATTGTAGGCATGAGTGGCCATACCCACCCGTACTTTTTTCTTTTTTTTTTTTTTGAGATAGAGTCCTGGTCTGTCACCCTGGGTAGAGTGTGGTGGCATCATCATAGCTCACCGCAACCTCACACTCCTGGGTTTAGGTGATCCTCCTGCTTTAGCCTCCTAAGTAGCTGAGACCACAGATGTGTGCCACCATACCTGGCTAATTTTTCTATTTTTTGTTGATGACAGGGTCTCACTCTTGCTCAGGTTGCTCTCAATCTTTTGAGTTCAATTAATTCTGCCTCCATCTCCCAGAATGCTAGGATTACAGGTATGAGCTACTGTGCCCAGCCAAAATCTACATTTAATAAACTTGTAAGAACCATTAGTCCGTCTTCTAAAGCAGTAGTTCTCAAGTTTCTTTTTTTTTTTTGAGACAGAGCCTCAAGCTGTCCCCCTGGGCAGAGTGCCATGGCATCACAACTCACAGCAACCTCCAACTCCTGGGCTCAAGAGAGTCTCCTGCCTCAGCCTCCCAAGTAGCTGGGACCACAGGCGCCCGCCACAACGCCCGGCCATTTTTTCGTTGCAGCGCCATTGTTGTTTGGCGGGTCCAGGCTGGATTCGAACCCGCCACTTTAGGTGTATGTGGCTGGTGCCCCAGCCACTTGAGCCACAGGCACCAAGCCGGTTCTCAACTTTCTTAATGCCGCAATATATTTTCATTGTTAAAAAGGGGTTGCTGGGCAGCGCCTGTGGCTCAAGGAGTAGAGTGCTGGCCCCATATGCAGGAGGTGGTGGGTTCAAACCCAGTCCTGGCCAAAAACTGCAACAACCACCAAAAAAAGGGGGTTGCAACCCACAGGTTGAGAACCGCTGTTGTATAGGAACCACTATAATTACTAGAAAATTCTTTCTTCTGGCTAGGCAGGGTGGCTCACACCTGTAATCCCAGCACTTTGGGAGGCCAAGGTAGATGGATTGCCTAAGCTCACAGTTTCAAGACCAGACTGAGCCAAAATGAGACCCTGCCTCTAAAAATTGTGTTGTACTGGGCACCTGAAGTTCCAGCTACTTGGGAGGCTGAGGCAAGAGAATCACTTGAGCCCAAGATTTAGAGCTATGATGTCATAGCAGTCCATGGAGGGTGACAGCTTGAGACTCTGTCTCAAAAAAAAAAAAAAAAGATAATTCTTTCTTCTTTGCCTGTGATGCCATTCTTGTAGTTTTTCTCTGCTGATCGTCCAGTATTAGGCTAATCCCTTTTCTACAGATTGGCAATTCTTGTTTTGGCCAATTTCCATCCATATAGTACTTTTGCTAATTTCCCTGGGAAAGAGGCCTTTACACCATAGGGTCAGGCCATTTTGCAGATGGGAAAATCAAAGTACAGATGGAATAAAAAAGCAGGTGAGGGGCAGGTGGGGGATGGGAAGGAACAGAGGTTTAGCTTCCAAACTGTTCTCAACGTGGCTGCTTGCCAAAGACTACTTCCAAATAAGGTCACATTCTGAGGTTCTAGGTGGGCATGAATTTTGAGGGGACACAATGCAACCCAATACAGAGAATATGATTTTTTAAAAAATCCTAGCAAAAGAGTTTTCAATGAAAAGTAAGCTTCCCTCCTGCCTGAGTCCCCCAGGCCTCAATTCTCTGTCTAGTCTCTTGGGTCTCAGTCAAGAGATGATGCGTAAATTGGCATTTCTGGATACATGCTCCCCACCCCTTAACACATGTGCTAGCATACTGTACAGGGTTCTTTTTTTTAGCTCATTGTCTTGGAATGTACCAAAGTCACCCATCAGGCCTACCCCACCTTTTGTCCAGCCTGTTGTTCAGAGGACTGGTGGTCATGCTGCTATTCTCAGGGTATGGGACAAAATCTGATCTTATTGCTATTTAAGGAAGGTTGGGTAGAAACATTATTCCCATTTCTAAGATGAGGTTATTGAGGCCTAGGAGGCATCAGCCAGAAATCATCTGGAAGAGCTAAAGCTCAAAGCTCCTAGATTTGTGTCTCAGGTCATCCCCTCCTCAGCACTGTTGCCTCTCCTTTACCCATTGAGGCAAAGAGAGTCCTGTGTTACAGGGAATTGAAGAACTGGGGACTTCCCCACCACACACATGCTTATCAGCCTTGGGGTGAATAGCAGTATCCTCTAGCTCCCTGACCTGCACCTTTTACCCACTACAGTGCACCTGTGGCGATTCTCGGGCGGATACCCAGCCCTCATGGACTGTATGAACAAGCTCAAAAACAACAAGGTATGTCTGTATTCCCTTGGCAAACCTCTTTGGATGTCATTTACACTCAACCCTATGCTGGGGGCTCCCCCTACCCTGTGGGGCACGCTGTCAGGGTGGGGTGTGGTTTCTGATGGCATGTCCAAACCACCATGCCCATAGGAGTACCTGGAGTTCCGAAAGGAGCGGAGCCAGATGCTGCTATCCAGGAGAAACCAGTTGCTCCTCGAGTTCAGCTTCTGGAATGAGCCAGAGCCCAGAGCAGGTCCCAACATTTATGAACTGAGGACATACAAGCTCAAGGTGCTTCCCTCTGATGCATCCCCACCTGCCTCCCAGCTTCTTGGCTATAGTGCTTGCTTTGCAGGGGCCCAAGGTGGATGTGCCTCAGCATCTAGCCTGGGGCTTCTGGCCTCTCCCTCCCTGTGGGCTCCAAGTAGAGTGTGTATACACAGATGTACACATGCAGACCGTGTGTGAGTCATGGCCTGTGAATGAGGCCAAACAGCCCCGGTGCTGGGATAACAGGACAGTTTCCCATCCCTGCCCAGCTGTGATGCTAGGAATCCAAGGTGGGGGCTCACGCCTACCCTCCCTGTGGTTCTCTTTCAGCCAGGAACTATGATCGAGTGGGGGAACAACTGGTGAGTGACAACAGTAGGGTTGGAGGTGGGGGGAACTCTGTTTACCTGCCCCACAGTGGGCCACCTTTCCCACAGCCAGATCATAGGGAACCCAGCATCCCCTACCCTTTGTGGTTCTGGGAGAAAGATCCAATGAGGAGGTGAGGATTTCTTAGAGGATTCTGAGGTCTCCTTTGTAGAACACTCCACCTCTATCAGTCTTTCCTCTTGTCATCTCAGAGAGCCATTGTCCTTACCTCAGGCCCCTCCTGGGAGTCAGCCTTGGTTCACCTTTGGGGGCCCTTTGTATCTCCCCTGGCTTCTGCCCCATACTCTTCTCCAGGGCTCGGGCCATCAAGTACCGACAGGAGAACCAGGAGGCGGTGGGCGGCTTCTTCTCACAGATAGGAGAGCTCTACATTGTGCACCATCTCTGGGGTAGGTGGGAACTTCCAGGAGCTTTCTGTTAGTTTTCCTCTTCCACTGTCACTCTGTAGACAATGGTGATTCATTAGTGCCCTCATGAAATTTAGGTTCTAGCTGAAGGAAATACTACATCTGACATTAAGTATAAAAAAAGGATTAATTTCAGGTTATTACAAACAATATTTGGAGGCCAGGCACAATGGCTCATGCCCAGCCCACAGAACTTTGGAAAGCCAAGGCAGGAGGGCTACTTGAGACTAGAAGTTGAGATCAGCCAGGAGTTAAGACCAGTCTTTGGGAGGACAAGGCAGGAGGGTCACTTGAGGCCAGGAGTTGTGACATAGCAAGACCCTATCTCTACCAGTCCCCCACCCTACCCCCCCAAAATTAGCCAGGTACGGTGGCACAAGCCTATAGTCCCAGCTACTCAGGAGGCTGAGACAGGAGGATCACTTGAGCCCAGGATTTTGAGGTTACAGTGAGCTATGATCACAACACGGTAATCTAGCCAGGGTGACACAGTAAGACCAGATCTTGCCTCTAAAATTTCACATAAAGGATGTGGGAATAAAACAAAATGTAACAAAACACCCAAATGATATTTGTAGAAAAGAGATAGGGAGAGATGATGGAGAAAAACATGAGGGATCTACATTGGCTTGGGTAGACAAAGAAAGCCTATCTGACAGGGTAAACTATAAGCTGAGAGATAAAGGATGAGAAGTAGCCAGCTGTGAATTGCTGGGGAAAAACATTCCAAGGGGACAAAACAGTACATGCAAAGGGCTAAAGACCTTTGGGGTTTTGTGGCATAGCAAGATCAGTGTGGAGTGATCAAGGGAAGTGTGTGGAGATGGAATAGGAGAGGGGCCAGTGGCCAGGTCAGTCTGGGGATGAGCTGGGGGTTATTGTAAATGTAGCAAGAGGCTGCCTCAGTGTTTGCTTCAAGCAACAGCAACATGACCTGATTTATGTTCTAGTATGATTCCTCTACCTGCTATGTGCTTTGCCAAGGGTGATTGGTGGGGGAGCAGGAGAGTGATCAGGGCATCAGAGGATGATAACACACAAACAGGCAGGAGAGGATGGGGCCTGGCGTGAGGTAGTGGCAGTGGGGTGTGAAGTCCCTGTAGTCACTAGGCAGGAGGGTACTTGAGGCCAGAGGTGGAACCAATGGAATTTGTGGATGCATTGCCTGTGTGGGATGAGAAAGGGAGAAGAGGATTCTAGAACTCCCAGGCTCCTGCTTGAGCAGCTGTTTGTCATTTACTGAGTCTGGCGGTCTAGGGAAAGAGTAGGTTGGCAGAGTCAGGAGTATAATTTTGGCCTTCACAAGTATTACATTTAATTAATTAATTGATTAATTAATTTTGAGACAGACTCTCAAGCTGTCACCTTGGGTAGAGTGCCATGGTGTCACAGCTCACAGCAACCTCAAACTCTTGGTCCTAAGCAATTCTCTTGCCTCAGCCTCCCAAGTAGCTGGGACTATAGGCACCTGCCACAACACCCGGCTATTTTTTGTTACAGTTGTCCTTGTTGTTTAGCTGGCCCGGCCGGGTTCAAACCTGCCAGCCTTGGTGCATGTGGCTGGTGCCATAACCACTGTGCTTTGGGCACCGAGCCCAGTGTTACATTTAAGATCCTTTTTTTTTTTTTTTTTTTTGAGACAGAGCCTCAAGCTGTCCCCCTGGGCAGAGTGCCGTGGCATTACAGCTCACAGCAACCTCCAGCTCCTGGGCTCAAGCGAGTCTCCTGCCTCCGCCTCCCAAGTAGCTGGGACCACAGGCGCCCGCCACAACGCCCGGCTATTTTTTGGTTGCAGCCGTCATTGTTGTTTGGCGGGTCCGGGCTGGGGATTTGAACCCGCCACCTTAGGTGTACGTGGCTGGCGCCTTAGCCGGTTGAGCTATAGGCGCCGAGCCACATTTAAGATCCTTATACATCCACTTATAGATGTCAAATGGGCACTGGATATGTGAGTCTGGAACCCTCCAGAGTGTTTGAGTCTGAAGTATAAATGTAGGAGTTGTCACTATATTTATTGTTTAGATGGACAGTGTTTGCTAACAGTCCAAGGGGAGGTATCTGGGAGGAAGAGACAGGAGGGCGGGGTTTGGGACAGTGGGAAGAGAGCCCTGTGCTGGGGAGGCATCAGATCCTCCATGCCTGAGAAAGGAGCCTATGCCTTTCCCACAGCCTATAAAGACCTGCAGTCTCGGGAGGAGACTCGAAATGCTGCCTGGAGGAAGAGAGGCTGGGATGAAAATGTCTACTACACAGGTGAGTGCCTCCTCTGGGAGTCAGTGGAGTCTTTGGAGGTCATTTACTGGGAGCCCTGTCTGAAAGGTTTCTAGCCTCAACTGATAACCTCCAGTGAGGGGGAACTCACTTTTAAAACGGCAAGTTTGGGGCCGGATGCAGGGGCTCACACCTATAATCCTAGCACTGGGGAGGCCGAGGCAAGTGGATTGCCTGAGCTTATGGGTTCGAGACCAGCCTGGAGCAAGACCCCATCTTTAAAAATAGTCGGGCGTTGTGGTGGATGCCTGTAGTCCCAGCTACTAGAGAGGCTAAGGCAAGAGAATCAGTTGAGCCTAAGAGTTTGAGATTGCTGTGAACTATGATGTCACAGCACTCTACCCAGTGACAAAGTGAGACTGTCTCAAAAAAAAATATATATATACAGTGAGTTAGTGGTTTTGTATCCTGGAGGCATATTCCACAAGATATAAAGGGGTCTGTAGTGATTACTCTAGGGCATGATAATATGGCCAGGCCTGCATCCCTGCCAAGGAGCTATAGAGGGGTTGTTGTCCCTTGTGACCTTGGCAGAGCTGTTCTTTACCTTACTGAGGCTGTTCCCACATCTGTAAGATGGTGATTAGAGCCTCCCTCAAAGAGTAGGGGGGCGAATTACAAAAACCAATTTTTGAAAAGTGCTTCCTTGAGACTCTGGCACAAAGGAAGCACACGGCAATTGTTTTTTTAACTTTTTTTTTTTTTGAGACAAGGTCTTGCTTAATCATCCAGGCTAGAGTATAGTAGTGTCATCATAGCTCACCACAGCCTCAAATTCCTGGGCTCAAGAGATCCTCCTACTTCAGCCTCCTGAGTAGCTGGGTCCATAGGCATGTACCATCATGCCCAGCTAATTTTTCTATTTTTTTTTTTTAAGACAGATGTTTATTATGTCACCCTCGGTAGAGTGCTGTGGCATCACAGCTCACAGCAACCTCAAACTCTTGGGCTTAAGCAATTCTCTTGCCTCAGCCTCCTGAGTAGCTGGACT